AATACCAATACCAATACCAATTAGCCTACAGGGCATGGCAAACATCTGAAGAGGAACACTTCCCACCTACTTTCTTGGTCAATAAGATTTGGGGGGGGGGAGGTTTTAGAAATATACTTTCAGTATTTAAAGATTCTGCTACTCCAACCTTACAATAAAGGTAGTGTTCATATTCATGGTTGGTGCTTCTTCTCTGGACTACCTGAAGGCTGGCATGAAGATTACAAAATCCCTCATGAATAGGAAATAGGAAATATCAGATAAGTCTTTTTCATGTAGATATGCCATCATCCGTTTGCAATAATAGGCCATTTGTGCATTTGCTAGCTTGAACCCATAAGAAGAAACCGGTCGCAGAAATATCTTTTTCCTTGGCAGTTTCCCTCTTCAAAATAGACCAATTAAAAAAGACCAGGCCAAACAGTCTATGACATCATTTGATATGGTTTGGTTTTCAGAATTGTCGAAGTACCTGCTGCGATGCTGCAACTTGTAAGCTGAAACCTGGGGCACAGTGTGAAGTTGGAGAGTGTTGTGAGCAATGCAGAGTAAGATTTCTTTATTTTTAACACCAAGAGAGATTCTCTTGGCTATTTACTATGATCAAAATGTTTTACCTATTCCTTTCTCCTCTTCCAGCTTATTTCATCCTTATGAACATATCCATAAGGAGGATAATTTAACAAAATTTCATCCATGTCTCAAAAATGCACTCTTTGTGCATGTTAAACCATGTCTTTGAAAATAATACATTTGTTCTTTGATTGAGTTTGCATGCAAATCCAATTTAAATAAGGGTAGGCAGATGCCCTAGATGCCCTAACTTAGTTCCTGACTATCTGGAAGGTTCTAAGGGGTCTCTGGTAATGCTGTGACATTTTCTCTTTGAGACTTTGTGGATGGGAATTGTTCCCCACCCCGAGTTCTCTACCTGTTCTCTAAAGCTCTAAATTCAGTTATTTTGGTGGCATGTTTTGGAGGTGCTGTAGGACCATGAAGAGAGAGGTGCACGTTCCTTCTATATGGGATCCAAGTTGACTCTGCAATGAAGCTTTTGAGCAGAAGAGCCCAAACCATTTTGTTCTTTCCATATTTTCATCACAAGCCTAGATTCACAGCAAAAGAAAGCAGCCACATTTTTCCCCAGCACATGTCAGAAGATTCTATGGATTTTTTTTTTTTTACAATACAGTACAATAGCAGAGTTGGAAGGGACCTTGGAGGTCTTTTAGTCCAACCCCCTGGCTAGGCAGAAAACCGTACAATATCTCAGACAAATAGCTATCCAACATCTTCTTAAAGACTTCCAGTGTTGGGGCATTCACAACTTCTGGAGGCAAGCTATTGCTCTGATTAATTGTTCTAACTGTCAGGAAATTTCTCCTNAGTTTTGTAGCCTTGGTGAGCATGCCCCCTATTGATCAATTTCTGTTTTTTTCTGCTAAAACACGACAATTTCATTGTCTCATATTTCATGCAATGGCAAGGAGGTCAGGAAGTATGGAGAATGCTATGTAGCTTTTCCTCTATCTACTGAAAGATTTCTGGGCATCATGATTACTTTTTAAAATTTCTAGACACTTCATGGTGTTTTGTATAGAAGACCTTGCTTAGAACAATGTTGCTTCAATGAATGCCACAAAATGTGTCTAGTGCAACTTTGAACTTGAAAGAAGACCATCTTGTCTATTTAATTACCACCTGCAGATTGTCTTGCTTGGGTGGACTTATGATACTATGTTTGCATCTATTTAAGTGTGCAGTTTCAGAGGTCAGTGTGACATCACATATTATTACATTTTCAACAAAAGGAATCAACAATGAATAGTTCAAGGCAAATAGAGTGTTAGTATAGTTAGCTCTCCATTTGCCTCAAAGATTTTATTGTAATAAAAACTACTATCCCTCCAAAGAAGAAAAGAAAAACAAAACTCCACCTGTTTTCCCCTCAATTATATAACTGTCCTTCCACAGAGAGGCTGACTAACAATGAAAATGAAAGGCAGCCCATTCACACACAAGTAACTCAATCAACTACATAATATCTCATTGAAAATTTATTTGGTTAAAAAAGAAAAGAAAATTGGTGGAATTAAAACCGAGGTAGCATAATCTGGGAGTAAGATCAAGTGGTACAAAGAGTTCTCTTTGTACCCCTTAGCAATATTTCTTCATTAGCCATTCCTTTTCCATCTTATATGTTTTTGCAATGAATTTGTTCCTAGTCCAAATATGGATATGTCCTGATCTTACTTCATTTCATCTCTACAGATTTGTACCTTCCTATCAGTTCAGCTCCTGTAGTCGGACCGAACATTTTAGTTATCTTATTAATAACAGCCCACAATGCATTCTCAACCAACCCTTGAGCACAGATATTGTTGCACCTGCAGTTTGTGGAAATTACTTTGTGGAGACCGGAGAAGAATGTGATTGTGGCTCTCCTCAGGTAAGTTTTTTTTTTAAATCAACAAGAGTGATGTGAAAAAAAATCTCAAAAATGGGAATCCTTGAAAAATCATCTGGCTTTCTAAGTAGTTTGAGCCATCCAATAGGTTGGTTTGTGAATGGCATATGTTTGTGCCCTTTATATACATGCATATATGCTGTGTTTTTTTGGATTTGGGGAACCAGTTGTGGAGGAATAAAGAATTGGTATCTCACTACCAGTTGGGGAAGACATTATATTTTTAAACATGGGTGATTTACCTCTCCAACAAAATCCTTCCCTACTGAAAACCCCTATTTTGTTGACATGGACACATTATCTGTCCCACTATTTTCTTGAGCTGCTTCCTCCTAAAACATATGACCTTTAATATACGCTCTGATCCCTAATAATATTTTTATAAGAACAGTTAATTTAGTGAAGTGTTCTCTTTGTATTGTTAAATACAAATGTAATAGTTTGTAAAAATGTCCTTGAGAGACAAGGAGGAAAAATCTACTCAATGCTCAAGAAAATATAAGTATATAAGACTTGAGAGACCGCCTGCTGCCAATTACCTCCCACAGACCCATTAGATCTCACAGGGTTGGCCTCCTCCGGGTGCCATCTACNTGCAAATCAGCATATTGTTCCACTTTCATAATCAATCCATCCATTGGATTTATGGAAGATGTGATTTAAAAAATACATGGACACTTTTATTTCAATTGCTTTGAAAATGGAAATCTCAGTTCAAAAAAAGAAATTGCTGTTTTGGTCAGTTAAATAGCATAAAATGATGTAACATTCCAGAGAGCGATAATAGTGCAATCTTTTGCAAGTAATCCAGCTATATTTAAAAATGTTTATATCCAGGAATTGACTGGCCTCAACCAAGAATGACACGTGATGATTCTTGCAAGCTGTGTTCTTTCTTCTTTCACCCCTATAGGCAAAATCTTTCTGTACTAAGGACTCTACTGTCTGCAGCTACAATACTGTTAGGAAGGAGCTATCTTCATCCTCTTTCTCTCACATGTAATATCTGGGGTGTCTGAATTGCCTCTTACTCATCTGGACTTCACCCCCTCCCACCCAGGAATCCCCCATCTAACTGCATTACTGCACAGGGATATTTCTACAACAGTGTTAAAGTTGGAAAATGAGAAAAAGCACACAGAGGAATGAAGCTGCATTCAGATTCCCCTCCAGCCATTGATTTTCTGCATGATGTTCTGCAAGTGGCATAAAAGTGGCTTCAGCTTTTGTGCCCATAAAATTCAATAAGGAAGTTTAATGTAGCACTGTATCAGCTAGAGAATGATTCAGGCATAATGAGGTTTAGATAAACAATGGGTTACAAAACAATAGATTACAAATAACCAAATATTAACTATAGTTTTTTAAACTCCTCTGAGATCTCCCAAGCCTTTGTTTATCCTGCTGGCATGTTACACTCTCAGGTATTTGTCTTGCTTTTTCCCTCCCTCTTGCAGATACAACAGTATCTCCAGATAAATGTTTTGAGAGTAACATGGATGCGAAAGATTATAGATCTTGCAGAATGGAAAATGGTATACACATTCCATGTGAACCACAGTAAGCAATATAAATTATTTCCTTCTATGATGATGATATAATATAAGGAAATAAAAACACATAAAGGTTAACCCGAGATCAAGATTGTTAGCACAGTCACTCATGCCCTGGTCCCAGCTGGACTACTGCATAGGGCTACCCTTGAAGAGCATTTAGAAGCTACAATTGGTATACAAGGAAATGATGTTGACAGTTCTGGACACCTCTGGAATATGGGATGTGTGACACCATTGTTATACAAGTTGCACAGGTTGTCAGTTTGCTTCTGGGCCCAATTCAAGCAGTTGGCCATTACCTTAAAACCCTTGTTCCTTTATGACAAAGGAACAAGATATCAGTAGAACTGCCTTACCTTGTTGGGACTGACCTGACCCAGTCCTTTGGTGGAAAGGGCCTGCTTCAGATTCTGTCAGCCAAAGACTTTTGGCTGTCCAGGTGCAGGAGAATAGCCTTTTCCACTTGGCGATATTTTTTTTTTCAGAGGTGAGATCTGCCCCCACAATTCTGGCCTTCTACTGATATCTTGTTCCTTTGTCATAAAGGGGTTTTAAGGTAATGGCCAACTGCTTGAATTGGGCCCAGAAGCAAACTGACAACCTGTGCAACTTGTATAACAATGGTGTCACACATCCCAT